TAGCTTCAATTTTGTTGTGATGATGATACCCTCCTTGCTCTGATGATATTCGTCACCTTTTCACCGGAATCGAAGGAGATTGCATCGGAAACAGCGGCAGCATGAATGTTCCAGTAAATCCAATCGACAGTTGGTCAAGATAACTCCGCCGTCGTCTTCTGTTGGAATCGACTTTAGGATCTCTTCACGCAACACTTTCACTCGAAATGGAAGTAAGCTCAACAACACAAACATGAGGTTAGCTCAAACCAGATTCATCAATCTCCAGACGATAAATTTGCCTTTTAATTTATTCAACTACGAATTTATTTTTATTTTAGCCATTCAACCAAGCTCAGTAAAGTTTTGGAAGAAAGGTGGCGCATCGGATGTCGAAAACCAGTTTAAGTGATGATTGGTCGGTTTGTTTGATCAAAAATGGGGATTAATGGCACAATTCAATCAACATACGAATGACGATTCTACCTTTCTCACTGCGCCCTGACAACATAAAAATAGCATAAAAATGCATAAACACATTTGGTAGTGTGTAACCGATGGATGAAAGAGAGAAAGCCAACTCAAGACTAAGGCAACAAAAGCAAAGTGCCCAATAAATGGAGGCCTCAGAGTATCGTTTGACTTTCTTGCCCAAATCCAATTTTTCGATGGGCTAACTCTCGCTACCCATAACAGACTTGACTTGCTTGCATTAAAAGTAAAACTAAAGCAAGTTGACGGAAACATAATGTCGGCAATGGACACGGAGGACCAAATGTAGACGCTTTTCTTGACCTGCATGCGCAAACAGCATGGCGTAAGTAGTATGGCATAAGTAGTGCACACGGATATTAGGAAAATGACACCCGTGAGATGGAGTTGAGTTAATGCGGCCAGCAATCTGCATATAATTATGCTGGTGTCTTCTATTTCTCAATTCCTCGACTGGTCCGAAAGACTTATTCTGGTTGGCAAGCAAGCTGATAGCAAATTTTTTCAAGGCATGCCAATCTTTAGATAAAGGATGCAATCCAAATGGTGATAGCTGCTCACTTTGTGCTTCATTATAATTCTTTAAGTCCACTTCACGCTCATAACGCAGCATTGCAATTAGCAATGAGAGTGCGAAACTACTTTAAATGCAACCGAAAATGTATGTCTGCCAAGCCGTCGTACTACTTAATATTAGACTTTAAGTAGTGCCCACAAGAGAGTATAGCCTATGCTGGCGACTGGGACGGGGTGATGATTAGATCGGTGACAAGGATGAGGCGTAATTAGTATAGCACGAGTAGTTTATCCGCATACCCGTAAATCGAGAAAGAACAATGAGATTAAGTTGGTAAATATGCAGAGGAGGCAGAGGATGGCGATAGGGTGAGTGAACAAATCACTTCTAGTCCCTAGGACACTATCGAGTTCCACCAAGCCTGGGTATTGGCCTGCGCGGAATCATGTTTCGATGCGGTACGAATGGAGTCTGTATGAACTTTAGGCTCAGATCGGCCTATAATGACCAAAGCAATTTGTCACTCCCACCCGATACACACACAAAAAAAAGCATAGATACAAGCAAATAAACAGCCGAAAATGACTCAATATGAGATTGTAGTGGAGAATAAGGATAAGTGGATAGAGTGGATAGAGGAGACATAATCGAAATCCGATTAAGTGGACCAGCGAAGCGAAATGAGGTGGCAAGGACCATTATGGCAACGTCGAATGGTCGAACATTTTGACAACGTCAAAGAGAGGACCATTTTAGCAACGTCGAGGCAAGGACCATTTGGGCAACGTTGGAGCGAAATCATTTTGGCAACGTCGAAGCGAAGACCATTCTGGCAACGATGAAACGAAAACCATTTTAGTAACGTCGAAGGGATGAAAATTTTGGCAACGTCGAATGGATGAACATTTTGGCAACGTCGAAGCAAGGACAATTTTGGCAACGTCGAAGCGAAGAAGTATTTGGAAACGTCGAATGGACGAACATTTTGGCAACGTCGAAGCAAGGACCATTTGGGCATCGTCCAAGCGAGGACCATTTTAGCAACTTCGAAGCGAGGACCATTTTGTCAACGTCGAAGCGAGGACCAATTTGGCAGCGTCGATGGGAGGAACATTTTGTCAAAGTCGAAGGGAGGAACATTTTGTCAACGTCGAAGCGAGGACCAATTTGGCAGCGTCGATGGGAGAAACATTTTGTCAAAGTCGAAGGGAGGACCAATTTGGCAACGTCGAAGGGAGGAACATTTTGTCAACGTCGAAGCGAGGACCATTTTGGCAACGTCGAAGGGATAAACATTTTGGCAACGTCGAAGCGAGGAGCATTTTGGCAACCTCGAAGGGAGGAACATTTTGTCAACGTTGAAGCGAGTAACATTTTGACAACGTCGGAGCGAAGACCATTTTGGCAACGTCGATGCGAAGAACATTTTGGCAACGTCGAAGCGAGGACCATTTTGTCAACGTCGAACCAAGGACCGTTTTGGCAACGTCGATGCGAGGAACATTTTGGCATCGTCGAAGCGAGGACCATTTTGGCAACGTCGAAGCGAGGACCATTTTGGCAACGTTTAAGCGAGGACCATTTTGGCAACGTCGAAGCGAGGAATATTTTGGCAGCGTCGATGGGAGGAACATTTTGGCAACGTCGGAGGGAGGAACATTTTGGAAACGTCGAAGCGAGGAGCATTTTGGCAACGTCGGAGGGAGGAACATTTTGGCAACGTCGAAGCGAGGACCATTTTGTCAACGTCGAACCAAGGACCGTTTAGGCAACGTCGCTGCGAAGAACATTTTGGCATCGTCGAAGCGAGGACCATTTTGGCATCGTCGTTCGAGGACCATTTTGGCAACGTGAAAGAAAGGACCATTTTGGCAACGTTGAAGCGAGGAATATTTTGGCAGCGTCGAAGGGAGGAACATTTTGGCAACGTTGAGGAGAGCAACATTTTGACAATGTCGGAGCGAGGACCATTTTGTCAACGTCGAACCGAGGACCGTTTTGACAACGTCGAAGCGAGGACCATTTTGGCAACGTTGAAACGAGGACCGTTTTGGCAACGTCGAACCGAGGACCATTTTGGCAACGTCGATGCGAGGAATATTTTGTGATCGTCGAAGCAAGGACCATTTTGGCAACGTCGAAGCAAGGACCATTTTGGCAACGTCGAAG